TTCCAGATCAATCTGGAGTCGTCCAGCTCAACCACCTATGCAAACCCCTATTTCACTCCTGGGTTCTCAGGACCTGAAGATGAGAACTTCACAGCCGGTGGTCCATCCGCCACTCTCCCTACCATCATCTCTGGCCCCTTCATTCCTCACCACTTTCCTCTGGACCTTACAATCCCACTGTCCCGATCTTTCTTCCAGCGCCTCCAACAGGAAGGAGCCTCTGAGAATTTGTATGGCCGCCCTTCCATCCAGAGTGTACCCTCAGCCAACTCCTCATTCTCCACTTCTATTTGTTTTCTCTTGTAGCTCTCAATTGCAATTATTTATTCCTTTATCCATTAATTCATGGCCCGTCTCCCTCTAGAATGTAGGTTCCTTGAGGATAGGAACTGTTGAAAGTGAAGACTCCTAGTAAATACCTGTTTATATGAATAGATGAACACTTCATTATTATCATTACTTTTAGAATGGGCATATCAGATTACTGAAAAAAGGATACATGTGTATGTGTGAGTGTCTATAGATACACAGATAGGAATGCATGCCAAAGTTACATTGTTCCAAGACCATTCAATAGAGGGAAGAATGGCCTTTTCAACAAATGCTGATGGGACAAGGAGCTATCCATATGCAAAAGAAGGAAGTTGGACCCCTGGCTCACACCAAATGGGAAAAAGTAATTTAAAATGTATCAAAGACCTAAATGTGAGCAAAAACTGTTACAAAAAAAAAAAGGTTTAAATTCCTGTGGCTTGATTAGGGGATAGTTTCCTAGATGTGTGTAGGTAATAAATGTATGAGTAATGAAAGAAACAAACTGGGCTTCATCAAAACTAAAGATATTTTGAAGTCAAAGAAGACCAATAAGAAGAAAGTCACACATGCATGTACATGCTTGCATATGCTTCAGAAATTTCTAGAAAGACACATAAGATGCCCTAGTACCTGTGACTCCTAAAGTGGCTGGAGAAAGGGCACTTTCATTTCATACTTCATTCCCTTTGGGACTATTTGATTTTTAGATGGCATGTGGTGTTTAAGTAATTTCTATATTAAATTTCACCCCACTTTGGATAACACAAGATTGGTTCCTCAAAAAACTAAGCACAGAATTACCATGTATGTGATTCAGCAATTGCACTCCTGGGTGGCACCCAAAAGAATGGAAAGGAGGGTCTTGAGGAGGTATCTGCCCACTCCTGTTCATAGCAACATTAGTCACAGTGATCAAAAGGTGAAACCCACCCAATTGTCGATCCATGGATGAATGGAGAAACAAAACAGACATATAGTGGATTATTATTCAGCTTTAAAGGAAGGGGAATTTGAGCTGTGCTACAGTAAGGATGAGTCTTGAGGACATTCTGCTTAGTGAAATAAGCCAGAAATGCTGCAGGATTCCAATTCCAGGAGGTCCCTCAAGTAGTCAAATTCTTAAGACAGAAAACTGAATATGGCTGTCAAGGGGGAGTTACTGTTTAATAGCGACTGTTTAATAGCTAGTGAGTTCCAGTTTGGGAAAAAGAAAACGTTCCGGAGATGGATGCGGTGATGACTGCACAACTGTGAGTGCACGTGACACTGCTGAGCTGGACACTTAAAATGGTTAAGATAGCTCATTTCATGTTATGTTTATTTTACCACAATAAATAGGAAAAAGTCAAATGAAAGAACACTTGGCTGCATTGAAGGTGAGTTTCCCCTTTGGGTTTTTTGTTTGTTTTTTTTCAAGAGTGACTAACATACTTTTAAAAAAATTTGTAAGTGGGTGGGGTCAGCTTTATTGAACCTTTGGAAAGAACTTGTCCTTTTTCCCATCTAAGAGCGGGCAGGTCTTCTGGATGGCATGAGCAGCTCTGGGCTTCCGGTAGCCTTCCAGTCCTTCCTCTTACCTCCCTGCTGGCCTCAGTCACCAAGCGGCTCCTGCTGCCTCTGCTGACCTTCCCTTCTGGGTTCTTGGACCAGGAGCCCCCAGCAGGGTCAGGGGAACCAGCATGGAATTTTAGGGAGAGGTGTGACACCTCACAGTTTTACAAAGATCTTCCTGAGTGCAGAGCAGACTATGGGCAGGATTAACATGAGATTGGAGGCAGGGAGGCCACAACAGGAGTCTAAGTGAGACTCTGTCAACCTTTTTTTTTTTTTTAAAGATTTATTATTTATGCATACAGAACTGGGGTACAGGCCAGAGGCACAGGAGCAGTGAGAGGATTCACCAGAGACAGAGTGGGGAGCAGAACAGGCTGACTGATAAGTACACTGCTGAGGGAGCAGCTGGCGGGTCAAGAGAGGTCTGCCACGCCATGTGATCACCTCCAGGGCAGGCGGGGATGAACTCATGCTGAAGTGGCTTTAGCTTCTTAGAGCTGTGCTTTAACCCGCTGCGCTACCAGGGAGGGCCAAGACTCTGTAGTCTTTTGATATATAGGCACCCAAGTGAGTGGGCTAATTCTGCACTGTGGGTACAGACCTGCCAAAGAGGATATTTCACTATAATTATAACTCTTTTAATTTAAGTTGAACATAAGTCAAATTTGAATGATCAGTAATTAAGGGAAAAACATCAGAATTTGACTCCTTGATGGCACCAGCCAAACATCAAACACTGACTGTGGGATGCAGAACAGCGGGGATAACAGTGAGTCCACTCTAGTGGGAAGCTCTGGGGTGGGGGTTCGTGCTGGCAGGGTACCTCTGCCACCTGGCTGGCTCAGGCTCTCTTGGTTCTGTTTCCCTAGAGAGAGTCAAATCCCAACAGAAGCCATGCAGGTGACACACAGGAAGCATACATGTAGGAAATGAGCAACCTCGATCCAAGAATGAAGTACAAACACATCTGGCCTCACTGCTGGAAGACGGTAGGGCTTGGTAGGGACTGTGGCAAATTGGAAAAATAATGTGTGCAACCCCAAGGGACCTCCAGCAATTGCTGCCACAGAGGAGGTGAGGACAGTGTCACCTGATGTCTTGATTTCTTTAAGTAACCCCAAATCTAGTTTTTTTTAAAAGATTTATTTATGCATGCAGAACTGGGGTACAGGCCAGAGGTATAGGTGCAGTGAGAGGCTTCACCAGAGATAGAGTGGGGAGCAGAACAGGCAGATCTGATGAAGCACACTGCGGAGGGGAGCAGCAGGGAGACAGGAGAGGTCTGCCGCGCCATGTGGGTCACCTCCCTGACTGGGATCAAACTTGCACTGAAGTGGCTGCGGTCAGCTGTGTAGTGCTGCGCTTTAACCCATTGCACCACCAGTGAGGGCCCCCAAATCTAGGTTTTTATGTGAAATCTCCAAAGCTTAAAAATTGGTGACAAAGTAAAAAAAAAATTAAACAGGGTAGGCCACAGGACATGCAAAGGCAAGCCAGGTCTAACCCCTCCACCCCCACCCCCCTCACGCCCGGTCAGGTGAAGGAACACTTTGGAAAGCCGAGGATAAGAGAGCTCATCATCTCAGCCAGGCTCTACTTAGTTGCTGGCCACCAAGGAAAACCGCTGAGTCCTGGGAGTTCCAGGTTCTCAGAGGGCAGAGACTGCCCAGGAAGAGGCCCTGAGACATTCTCATCCTTGAATCTCCAAGCAACTGAAGAGTTTACTCACAGGGCCCACGGTGCTTTGTTGTAATCGTCTTAAAAGCCTCTCTAAGCGGACTACACAAACCTGAGTTCTTAAAAATAAGACTGAACTGGACATGCTGTTCCATCCACTGCAAGGCTGCCGGGACCGTGGCCAGCTGCCCTGACTCCCCAGGGAGCCCCATGTGGCCTCGCACTGGACATCCGTCATCCCTGCTCTTTGCTGGCAGCTGGCAGCTGGCTGGGGGCAGCAGCCCAGGGAACTAGCTCACCAGAACCCACCTGAGCGCTGTCCCAGATGCTGGCCATGAAGCCTGCCTGTCCTTAATAAGGGGAAGCTGCTAGACAGGGAAAGGACAGTGGGAGAACCTGGACTTAAAGTTGGACATACCTTCTTCATTTTTCCCTGGGAACAAGGAATGTTTATGAAGATAAATGTACCAGGGTACCTTCCATGGTGACTTGATGACAGGTGACATGGCAATTTCGACACTGTGCTGGCTTGGTGGAACACAAGTCCTGCTGGGAGGGAAGGGCCAGGGGATGTGGAGCAGGGGGGCTCACGTGCTGCCCAGTCGTCATGTCACAGCATGGTTGCTGAGCTGCCGGGCATCACACCTGACGTTCTCACAGGAAGAAGGGGCAGAGGCAAAACCAGCTAGATCATCCATTTTCCAACAGTGTTCCCAGAAAGTCCTACTCAGCAGACTTGTACCATATTTCATGGCCACAACTCGGCCAACGGTCACTCCTGCTTACAAGGACGACTGGACAGTTGGGCTCTCCCTGGTGGCGCAATGGATTAGGCCGCAGCACTGTAACTGAGCCTAACCGCACCCACTTCAGTGCAAGTTCGATCCCCGC